CAAACCACAAGCCAGTTACCCTGAGGAACACAGGAAGGTAAGTTTTGATGGAGGAATGAAAGGAATGGAGGAGGGCATTTCAGGAGTGTGACAGAGGAAGAAGGAGGGCAAAGGGGGTGGGCACTGTTGGGCAAACTCCATGAGGATGCCTCAAGCTAGAACATTCAAACCAGGGGTTACCCCATAGCCCAGGGCCACCCATCCGTCTTGCTTAACCAATGAGGAATGGACGCCTGTAAGGTGGAGACGAAGGGAGCTGTCCAGGGTCACTGGAGATTCAGGGACAGAGCTGGGTCCCACCCCAGGTTTAGCAGGTTCACCCAGGTTTTGACCCACAGCCCACCCTGTGAGATGCACACACCTCCAGCCGGTCCCTGCTTTTCCTGGGACCTCTTGGGGCCCTTATCTGCATCTCCCTTCTCCCAGTGGCAGGAACAGAGCTGCCAGGCCCCAGGACCCCGTTCCTGGTTTGTAGATCTGGCAGTTTGGACAGGGAGGGGCTTCGGCCTGGGTTTGCCGTGGGCAGAGGAAGCAGCCCCAGGGGCTCAGCCTACAGGGAGTGAGGGGGCAAAACTCCTTCTCTGGAAAAAAGATTCCAAAACCCCCAAACCACTCGAGGTCCCAGGGCTGACTCCAGTGCCAGGGAAGCAGGGGACCTCCTGGGCCATCACTCCCGGTGCTCTCACTTACCTGGGACTCCCTGTGGCTCCGGCAGCTGCCGGGTGGCTTTGTCCTTGCTGTGGCTGGTGCCGGCTCTGGACTCTGTTGCCAGCAAGGGAGGTACCTGCTGTGGGCAGGCACCGACTGGCTCTGCCCTGGAGGAGGGTCAGTTAGGGTCCAGGCCACGTCTCCCTTTCCCTTGGGGAGGAGGATGGAGGAAGGCACCCAGCTTTTGGTGCCTGAGGCTGTGGAGGCCCTGGCCACTCCCCTTCTCCTTCTGCTCAGGCTCCAGGTTCCCAGGGGGTGGGAGGAGGCACCAGAATCTACAGGGGGGAGATTAAAGGTTGCGCAAAAAGAGCTGATGGCTGGGAGTTGGGAGACCCGGGTTGGGCCTGGCTATGGCCCACAGGCTAGTGTCTCCCCATTTGGGTCTCAGTTTTCTTATCTGTAAAATGATGGGGTTGAGATCGGTGGTTTCTCAGCAGCCATCCTGGAGCCTGTGATGCTGACTGGCATGCTCAGACGGGCTATCTCCACCCAGAGAAGACTTCTTGACTCTGTCCCCTTTGTTCTTTCCTCCTCTCTGAGGAGCTGCAGTCCCAACTCTAAGGGCACCCCTACCCATGCTGATTTTCTTAGACATGGGGGTCCTTCTCCTTTGAGCACCTTCCTCCCCAGCCCTGCCCCTGCCCATTCCCAGCTGGCCCTCTCTGATCCTTTCCCTTGCCTGGGCAGGGGCCCTCTCAGCTGGCCATTCTCCCTCCCCTGTGTGCTGAGTGGGAGCCAGGACGCCTGGGTTCTGGTCTCGGCTCTGCCATGAGCTGTACGACCTTGAGCTAGAAACCAACCCTCTCTGGGCCTCAGGATTGGGCTGGAGGATCCTCCAGGCTCCTCAAGCATTCAGACTTGATCATATCCAGACCACAGTTTTGGGGAGCTCACCAGGACCCAGGCTTTGTGCCTCTGGCTCCAGCCTCTTGAGAGGACCTCCGTTGTCATGACCTCAGAGCAGGAAGCCCCTGCGCCTCTAGTCCAAAGTGTCAACTCTTCCCTCCTTCATCTAAGTCGTACAGCGAGTGGGGGGACATTTTGTAATAGTCAGAAATATGATAGAGCTGTCCAAATTTTGAAAGAAGATAGAAGACTGTTCTATTCTGTAACCAGGGTAAAAAAAAAAAAAACACATAATTTCATCCAGATAGAAAGGAAAAACCAGGACTTACAACTATGATATACAACCATGCACTGCAGCTTTGGGGAGGGAAAAAAAAGAGGATTGACAACAGATGTTAGCTCAGGGCGAATCTTCCCCTGCAAAAAAAAAAGGGGGGGAGAATGAGCACATTTCAAAATAAAAGTCTTTCTCCCCCTTCTCCTGCTAGTTTTTTGGAGGCTGTGCTTCCTGACTGCATATCTCTTTCTTTCTCTCTCTCTCTCTCTGTTTCTGCTCTGCTTCCCATCACCCCTTCTTCCCTTATGTGGTTCAGGATTCCCAGGGAGACTGGGTAGAATCATGGGTGTCCCAGAGTAGGGAGAAATGACCATGCCCTGGCGGGCAATGACAATTCAGCACCTTGGCCAGCACTCTATCCCTTCTCCCAACCCCACCAGTCTCCTAGCCCCCTGCCCTTAAGCCTGTGACATGGCCCCTTGCAACTGATCTCCTGGTGGAGTGTTTGGGGATGGTGAACAGACCTAGGACCAGGCAGGAGGGGAAGAAGCCAGGAATGCTGCCCAGGTGTGAGCAGTCAGCATCCCGGCATGGCCTCTCTGGCAGGAGAGAAGGCCTGCCCCCAGAGCCCCTGAGCTGAGCTCTGTGCTGCCAAGAGACCTTATCTCTATTGTTTTCTGTTCTTGCTGCCACCCCAGAGAGAAAGGCCCAGAGCTAATGGCCTTATTAGGTGCTGAGCGTCTCTGGGACCAACATTAGACTTACAGAATCCTGGATCATCAGATCCAGGACCTTGGCAATCAGTTAACTAGATCCCTAGCCCCTCCCCAATAGAGATGGGGAAACTGAGGCCCAGGGAGAGAGATGGACCTGCTCAGGGTCATATAGTGCCTTCCTCCACCCCTGGCCCTTGGAGACACATGAGGCTTGACTCACAATTGCACAATTCCACAATTGCGTGGAGCCTGAATTAAGCTCTCACTTTGAATCCCAGGAGGATCAACGCTCTGGTGGCTGCTGCCTGTCACTGAAGTGGTCCTCAACGTTGAGAAGCATTTCCAGGCAGGTCCAGTAAAGAGTCTGCCTTTAGCTTTGGATGGGCCTGGGTCTGATTTCCAGCTCTCCTGAGTACTGGCTGTGGGTCTCCTGGGAAGTAATGTTTCTCCACTCAAACACTGAGATAATGATACCAGCCTCATGGGCTTGTGTCAATGTTAGATAAGGTGCAAAGAGTGCCAGCACTTTGCCCGCTGACCACAAACGAGGATCTGAATGGGGTTATTGTTGTTCTATCCATTCTTTCTTGCTCTGGGTAAGATCTTTGCTGACCCCTCCTTCCTTCCCAAGGCTGGGCTGCCTCTGCCTCCTCTCTTACCTTACCTGTGTTAAATGTGGGGTTCCTGTGCAGTATCAGCCTGACAACCCCAGATTCTTCCATTCAGGAATTCTCTGGACATTTCATCCCTCTTGGAGGTGCCCTGATTTCCCAGAGTCCTCTGTGGGATATGCAAATTAGGCCCCTATGGTTACTCCCAGACACTTGGAAACTGGGAGTGAAGACCAGGGAGTGGCCAGCATTTCTTGGACCTGGAGGCTGAGTGGGGGAAGGGGCAGGAAGGACCGTGGAGGGGGTGCTTCTCCCCCAGAGGACAGATCCACTGAGCAAAGATGGAGGGGCATGGCTTTAGGGCAGCCACAGGGATCTGAGAGCACAGGGCAGGGTGGGGGGTTTGGGGATACTCTAGACTCAGAATCACCCCCCAACTTCTCTGTAAACTGGGTGCTCTCCATCAGCCAATTGGAGACATTTCTCTCTGCCCCTGCCAACAGCCCCTCCCAATCCTTGTTCCTGTGCCTCTTCCTAGAACCCCAACAAGTCAATGACTGGGATGGTCCCCTCCCTTCTCTCCCCACCTCCAGGTATAGGTGAAGATCCACCTGGTGCCTCAGAGAGCATCCAGTCTAACCTCCATCAGTCTGCAGGTGAGGAGACTGAGGAAAGGACCTTCAGGGCACAAAATGAGTCAACACAGTTAGACTAGGCCCAGGACTCGTTTCCCAGGCTGCTGCACTGCTCACCTGAGGGGGTCCCAGTGGCCTCTCCACTTACAGTGCGCACAGCCTGTGTGTCCACGTGCAGGGCCCTGCCTGACTCCTGGCCAGGCTGCTTCTCCATCAGTCAGAGGTGGGACGGACCTCCTTCTACACAGCAGACCTGGGGACCTTTCTGGCCTAGGTGGTCACACACCCCACACAAGGCGCAAGGAGGAAGATAGGCTTCTTAGGCTTAAAGCCAGCCCAGAGGTTCGGAAAACTCTTACAGTTCCCGGCACTGACTCCAGGAGGCAGCTGGAATTAGAGGCAGGGCCTCCCTAAGTGCACTTCTCTTTGCAGCTTCCCAATAAATCATGTGAGATTGGTGTTATTATCCCCATTTTCCGTGTGGGAAAACTGAGGCCCAGAAAGCTTAAGTCATTTCTCTAAAGTCACACAGTGATGGAGCCTGGATTCAAGCCCAGGTCTGTGGGATTCTAGAGACCAGGCTCTTGCCACTGTCTCATGAGCTCCCCTGAGCTCCCAAGGCTAGCATCACCCCCTTCTCCAGGCAGTCTTCCCTGGCTAGTAAGTTGTAATGTGACTGCTAGCTTTAGAACTCAGTTCTAATCCAAGCTCCATCACTTACCAGTGTGGGACATGGGACTGTGGGCAAGCCACGTCCTCCCTCTGAACCTCACTTTCCCACGTCTGTAAAATGGGCATAATACTATCTACCCAGTAGTGTTGCTTTGTGAATTAGCCATGCTAATGTAGGTACACTGCCTGGGACAGAAGAGGGGGGCCTTTCTGTTTGTGAAAATGAATGAAACTGACCACTGATGTCCTGTAACTTTAATTTAATACAAATTCATCATAACTCACAAAATGGGCAACATTTAAAATAAAAATACTGCTGGGGGTGGCCCAGATTCTGGTAGATGAAGGGGTGGGGTGAGACTGAGGACTCCTCTTGCCCAAAGGAGGCCCCATTGAGCAGCGGTCGTGAGGTAGGAGCCCCCGAAGTTCAGCCAGTCTGGCTCCTTTAGGATGGGTGTGGTCAGAGACCCCAAATTCAGAATCTAGGCCCCAGGTCTAGAAGGAAAAACCAGGCCAGAGGGACGTGTCAGCTCACCCCTCGGGCTCTCGTCCCTGGGCAGGGACAGAGCCAGAGAGCAGGATACCTGGAGGCTCTGCTGCTTCAGAGCCAAGGCCGGGAGGTGGACGCCTGCGGCAAAAACCGTGGATGGGCTTGTTCAACATCCATTCTTACTTCCTTCTAGTGGGTGAGGCTGGAAGGAAGAAAACTATGTTTCTCAGACTCCCTTGCAGCCAACGTTCTGGATCTGATTTAAGTTTTTCCAAACAGAATCCCTCCTAGAGATTTGGATTTGGGAACTGAATGGCGTGGGAGAGAGGCAGGCCTCAGGACAGCCACTTGCTGGCATGGACTAGTGGAGGGAGCACAGTTCTGTAGTCAACAGCTTCCTGATGCAGTGGCTTCCTGCAGACGGGAGCAGAGTTCCTGGTGGCTGGGAGCTGTTCCTGGAAACTCAGCAAAGAGTCTGCTCCTCCTGCCCTTCCAATGAATTTGCAAAGCCATCAGGGACCTGGTAATAAATCCTGTCTAATTAAACTAGCTAAAGCCACTCTTGTTTTCTGCAATGGGATCCTGAGATAGATACCAAGACTGATGAGAGGTCCCAGCCAACAGCCCGTCCCAGTGCTCAGGGCCTCACTAAAACAATTACTTCCCGTACCCTCCCGCATCCTAGCCTGGTCACAGAGGCCTGGCTGGACCCTTATCCAAGCTGTTAGGGACCTCCATCGTCTAGTGACGTTTGTCCTCCAGCGGCCTTTAGGCTACTGGGCTCTGCATCAGCCTCGGGGTGTGCCTTCATCCTGCCTTTAGACCTGTGCGCAGGAAGGTGGTGGCAGTGACTGTAACATGTGGGCTCAGCTACTGGGTGCCTTCTGCAGCCAGAGCAACAACTTTACCCTCAGATAAGTGGAAAAGCAGGAACCATAAGGCTCTTGGTCTGGAGGTGGAAGGAGAGGGTGGTTCTCAGGTAACCCGAGGACTAGCTACAGCCTGTGTCCACTGTGGGCTGGGGTCAAGTGTAAAATAGCCCATCACTAGCTTGGTCAGGGGCAAGTCTTAGGCCTGGGAGCATAAGAGGGTACTGTGTATCTTTCAGGCTGCCAACTGCTGGTGACACTCTGACACATCCTGAGGTCAGGGCATGTGGGCAAGAGGGAGACATAGGAAGGCTGTCCCCTGCCCCTGAGAGGATGGGGATGAGGGTTGGGCAGGGGCTGCCCTGAGAAGAAGCCACGTCACATCCTCGGACCAAAGCTGCAACCCCATCCAAGTCAGAGCTGCAGAACATCAGTGCTGGAAGAGAGTTTAGGAATCATGGAGCACTACCTCCATTTCACAGACGGGGAAATGGAGGCTGAAGGGTAAACATCTGGCCTGAGATCTCACGGTGGCCAAGCTGGGCCGGAGTCCAGGCCTCCCGTCTCCCGGGCGTCTCCAGGGCGTCTCCCGGGTGGGCTCTTGCTGGGGGCCATGGCCCAGGGCCTGCGGTCTGCCTCTGCCGCACTAGATGCGCACCGTGTTGATTCGCAACGGCTGCACATTCTTGCCGTTGGCGTGGCTCTGCCCGGGGCTGAAGTAGGAGCAGAGCTTGCCGGGGAACTTCTCCCGGAAGGTGTAGAGCCAGGACATGTCGTCGGCGTTGTAGAAGATGAGCAGGCCTTGGTCGTAGTCCAGGAAGACGCCCACCTTGTCAAGCTTGTCGCGGACGTTCAGCCGCGTCCAGGGCTCGGTGCAGGCGCTGTACTGGTTGCCGTCGTGCATGACGATGCAGTAAAAGCCGCGGCTGGGCTGGATCTGGATGCTGCCCTTGCGGCTTGCGGCCTCGTGCGCCAGCCCGATCACCCACTGGGTCTTCTCGGCCACCACCACCTCCCAGTAGTGGACGCCGCCACTGAAGGCCTCGGAGCCCAGCACCGACACCTCCACGTCAAAGCGCTTCGGTGAGTCCTGCAGCGGCTGTGGGTGCAAGTTGCCATAGGCCACGATGGTGCAGTCATCAGACAGGATCAGGCGCTGGTGGGCGGTGCCCGGGTCCAGGGTCAGGGCGGCTGGCACTACGGAGGGAGGAGGAGGGAGAGAAGATGAGTGGAGAAAAGACTACGGACCCCCTGAGCGCTGGGTTCTGGTTGGTCCCCAGGAGGCTGCGTGATGCTGAATACAAGCCTGCCCTTTCTGGGCATCAGCTTCCTTCTCCATAAAATGAAAGCGTGATGGCTAAGGTCCTTCCAGATTTAAACTTGGCTGCAGGGGACAACAGCTATGGCTGTTCACTGCTGACGCTCAGGGCAAGGCGCACAGTGGGCACTCCACAAAAGCTTGTTGAATAAACCAGAATGAGGTCCAGGATTAGAGAATTTCCGAGCTGGGAAGGAGCTTAAAGATTATCCAGGTGCTGGATAATCGCCCTTGGGGGTGATGCGGAAATGTGTGGGGGTATTTAGTTGTCTCAATAGATGGGATGCTAAATGCCCTGAACGAAATGTACATGGTGGTCCCCTGCCCCCCCGCCCCCAAAGATTTTCAAATGTTGCACCAGACATTCATGTGGATGAAAAACTTTTTTTTTCCTGCTGAGGAAGATTCACCCTGAGCTAACATCTGTTGCCATTCTTCCTCTCTTTGTACGTGAGCTGCCATCACAGCCTGGCCACTGACAGATGAGTGGCGTAGGTGTGCGCCCAGGAACCAAACCCTGGACCGCTGAAGCGGAGCACGCCAAACTTAACCACTAGGCTGCCGGGGCTGGCCCGAAAAATCTTTTTTATAATGACCTGAAACTACAACTTAACTCCATTTTATGTATATTCGTGAAATTATTTTTGTACAGTTTTAATGTATACTGAATATTCTGGAATGTAACCACAATGTAAACTGAGGGAAGACTGAATTCGTTTTGTTTGGAACTTCACTGAAAATTGTTCACTCTTTTGGAAACTACATCTCTAAGAACGCTGCCACTGACTGATCTAACCTACCTGTTTTGGACTACATTTGAGGCAGAATGGTGTTCTACCTACGGCGTGAGACCTGACTACTTCATTGTATTTTCCAGTGTGGTTGTGAGTGAGCACGTACATATGAACATACACAATATTTTATTATAAGAATTCCCTTCATATTATAGTCAGAGTATGTATATATATGTACATATACATACATATACACTTGAAATTGTGAAAAGGTTGTATTATCTTTGAGACATTACGAATTATCTGTTACGAAAAGTAGACGACGGGTCTGAAAAAGTTGAAAACTGCTGATTCCAGGCCAACTCTCCCATTTGATATAAGGGGAAACTAAGACCCAGAGAGGCAACAAGCCTCATCTCGGGTCACCAGCAAACATTGGTAGACCCAGGATGAATCAAGGCCATGTGCAATCCAGCCACAGCCGGCCTACCTCTCACTCGCCAGCCCCCACCCCATTTAGGCCCAAAGCCTTTGCTCAGACTGTTCCCTCCACCACTTCCTCTCTCCCTGTTCAATCACCCCCACGAGGCTCAATTCCAGGGCTCATCCTGTGGGAAGCCTTCCTGGTTGCCCAGCCGGTGGGCTCACTCTTTCCTCTGAGATTCCTTAGCTTTGTTTGTGCCCTCTCGCCATATGGGGTATAGTCTTCTGTGCCCACATCCTACCAGGAGGGCAAAGACTGTGTACTATCCCACTAGGCTCTCCCTCATGTGCCCAGTGCCCAGCACAGGGCCTGCATGGGGAAGGTTTCCAGAAAGGCTCACCGAATTAAACTGACCCAGCTTGTGTTGCTCTCTGACCCAGCACAGGCTGGGTCACCCGGCTCTGGGCTGGCCACACTGGCTTAGCAGGTCTGGCGGTCAGTCTCAGGAACTCCTGTCAAGGCCTCTGTTTACTCTTCCTCCCTGAGGAAGCTGAAGCCCAACCAGAAGAAGGGGGAACCTGGAACTGGCCCTCCTGAGCCTGGATGACCATTTCCAGGCCACAGCAAGACAGAGGGGAGGCAAGACGAGAAGAAGGAATCCCGTCACAGTTCCTTCAAACGAAGAAAGGACTTCATCGGGCTCTCTGGTACTTTCCTTATCTAGTGGAGCAGGCCCATGATTACACTTGGCTGGAGAATTACCCACTACTTCAATCCCCTCTGTTGGCTGCGTACATGCACAGAAATAATATGTCTCAGTGATGGCGACTGTCCCCAACAGGGAGCAACAGCCAGTCCCTGAACCGTGCTTCTGTTCATACATCCACTAACAAAGCTGACCGTTGACATATCAGGCTCCTTCCACGAGCTCTGTTCAGGAGCAAATTGATTTTGCATTTTATACTCTTCTTTCCTGCTCTTGGAACTCAGAGGGTTGTATGGAAACAATTAGCCCTGTGAATAGAGGGGTCAGTGGAAACACAATTCTCTACCCAGGGACACTGCAGAGGGGGAGCCACGAGAAGGAAGACACTGAATCAGTGGATGAACGTTTCACCCTGTCGTCTGACTGGTCACAGTGCGGCCTGTCAGAACTGGAAGGCGCCTGCCGCGTGGAATGTGGGAATTCCCACAGTGGGGTCAGGAGGTAAGGGGTGGAGGGGGGTGTAGGAAGCGTGTGTGTGTTGGGGGTTGGGGAGCTAGGAAGAGAAGAATCTAATCAGACACAGATGGGGCCACTCCGACTGGCCGTGGAATGTGGGTCATGCTCAAGCGTCCACAGCAGAGGGGCAGAGTAGGCACAACGCCAAGGTGCAGGCAGCAGAAGTTCTGAGTGCTACGTGGGAGCCTGTGTCTGCCATCTGAGGTGCCCAGGATGATTTGAGGAGACAAGCAACAGGCAGAAACTGCGGCTCGGGGCAGAAGGACCAGGAGAAGACCAGCACGGGGGCAGGGGGGCTCAGCCCCAGACTCTTAAGCCTATGTAGGGCAATGTGAGCCGCTTCCGGTGCCACTGATGAGTGGGGAGGGCGCTCTAGGAGGCAGTGAAGTGGGCTCTCAGTGGTTCTGAGGCTGGGCCAACAGAGATGAGCCTGCAGGAAGCAATTCTGACCACACTGAGTCCCAGCTCCGGGTCGGGTCGTGGACCCTTAGTGCTTGAAGCCCTGGAGACTGGACGAGGGCAGGGCCTGCCACTCACTGGGTGGGCCTAGAGGCGGGCCTGCCGCTCTTTGGGCAGGACTGACAGTGGAGGCGGGAATATGGGAGGGGCCTGATCCACAGGGGGCAGGGTCCAACCTTCCAGGGGGCGGGGCCTGTTTTCTTATTAGGCAGAGGGCGTGGCCTGAGTCTTAGGAGGGTTTACACCCCAAAGAGTGGGCTGAGGTCCACCTCCAGGGCCTCCCAGATCATCATAAACAGAGGTCCTGTCTTCCTGCCTCCCTCCTGCTGTCCCCGAGGCTAGGGCTGGCAGGAGTAACAGCCTTCAGACCCGAGAGAGACCCAGACCTGGTGGCAACACCTTTTCCCCCTCAGAAGTGTCCCTGTGAAGGGCCTGGCAATCCCTCCACCCATCCTTTATCCTCAGGAGAGGTGACTGGCCCAGCGAAACAGATCCAGTCCCCTGGGGTTCACTATTTTACAGGTCAGAGCTCTTTTCTAGGTCCCAAGACACTGTTTTATAAAAACAAAAAGCAGGCATGAGGCAGCCCGTCTGGTCTCCAGGTGTGTTCTCCGTCCATTTAAGGCTCTCTGAGGTCTTGAGGTCAAAAGGCATTCAGGAAGGAGCTGGGGAGGCAACGGAAATGTCTCCTGGCCATCATCGGTCACACACTGCAGCGGCCCAAGCAGCAGAGAAACCCTCCCTGGGCACGGCCCAGTGCCATCACTGGGCAGCAAGTGGCTGGTGCCTCTTTGTTCTCAAAGACAGCGGCCTTGAGGCCTGACAGGCCTGGAAATACCATTAGCTCTTCCCTCTGGCTAGGGCTTTAAAAAATCTGGCCCCTCAGGGCTCCCACCTACTCAGGCCCTCTGCTGCACAGGGCTGGCTTTGCAAAAACATTTTCACACCTCCCAGCTCATGGGACACCATAGCAGCCCCAGGAGCACAAATTATTGTACCCAGTTTTCAGAAGAGGAAACTGAGGCTCCAAAGAAGTGGCTTGCTCAAGGTGCCACTTGGGGTGGAAGCAGAGCTGGAACTTGAATGAAGCTCTTTCTACACCGTGTTCCCTCCCTCACATGGCCCCAGAAAGCCCGTTCAGCAAGACTGAGGGCCCATCTGATGATTCATGACAGTAACAAACAGGTATCGGGTACTCACTAAGTTCCAGGATGATTATCACAAATAAATAATTTTATTTAATTCTCACACCTGCCCATCTGTTTTACAGATGCAGAAACAGGCTCAGAGAGGGCAACAATTTGCCCTGGGTCACACAGCTAGGCAGTAAACATGCCGGAACCCAAAATGATTGGCTTCAGATAAGCAGGGGGAGGCGAGAGAGCAGCCCAGGAGAGGGAGGGGGTAGGAGCAAAGGGAGCAGTGTCTGGTGTCCTCGAGACAATGGTCACCTGACCTGCCTGGGGAGGAAGTCTGTGCCTGGGAGCTGGGGCGTCAAGCCAGGCAGATGGTGGAGGGTTTCCAGTGTCAGCTGAGGGGTGGGGTAGGGGGATGGGGGCGGGGGAGAGTGGGGGTTCCAGAGCAGGGGAGCGACAGGTGCTAACTGGCGTCACAGGTGACCCACTGGGAAGCCTGAGCTGGAGGGGGGCAGGCAGGAAGCTGCTAGAATCCATGGGCTAGGTCCCGGGGGGCACCTGCCCCCCATCTGGACATAAGGGCCTTGGTGCCGGCAGAGGAGCCAGAGTGACTTCACAGGCCCTACAGACAAAGAAAGGGGCCCGGCTAACTAGGTCACTGTTAGCCGAACTCCCCACGGGCCTCTGTCCTTGGCAGGATGTTCGGGGCTCAAGTACTGCTCCCTCAGCCCCTCTCCCACAGGCAGCTTCTCTGGGGGGGTGGTTCTCAGCTGGGGCGATGTGCCTCCCAGCGGACACTTGGCAATGTCTGGAGACATTTGTGGTCATCACACCAGGGATGCTGCTAAACATCCTACAAGCACAGGACAGCCCCCTACAACAAGGAATTATCCAGCCCCAAATGTCATTAGTGCTGAGGTTGAGGAACCCCGTCCTGGGGCCATCAGCAAGTCCCCACATGCATTTGCTTTCTTGTGAGGGAGGCAAGAAGGGGACACTAGCATCCCTATTTTACAGAGTTGGAAACTGGGGCTCAGAGGAGGAAGTGACTTGTCCAAGGAGGTGCAGCAAGTTCCTTCATTCAGAAAATATTTATTGAGCACCTACTTTATGGCACTATTCTAGTAGCAGAACTGAGACTAAGACTCATTCATTTCTTTATTTATTCATCAACAAACTTACTGTGCTGGCTGCTGGATATATAGCGATAGATCAGACCCAGCCCTTGATCCCTCAGAACTCATGGTCTAATGACAGAGATAGCCATACAGACATTGACAAAACAGTGAGACCAGGAAAGCCCTACCTGGAGAAATCCAGGAAGCCCTCCCAGAGGAGGTGTTTATAAACTAAGATGCAAAGGAGAGTAGGAGTTAGTCATCAAAGATTGAGGTTTGTGTACAGGGTTCTAGGCAAAGGGAACAACATGTGTAAAAGTGTGCAGGAGGGAGATAGGGTTCATTTAAGACCTGAAGATGGTTCAGCGTGGCTGCATGCGATGTGGAGGGGAGAAGGAGAGAATGGCAGGCCCAGATCTCGTAGGGCTTTGACTGTCAGGCTGAGGTGCCCGGATTGCCTCTTTGAGCTGTGACAGGGATGTAGCAGGTGGCAGCTGAGACAGATAGAGCTCCTGAGACCATCTGCCTGAGGGGCCTCCCTGGGTCAGCGGCAGGGGAAGGAACAGGACCCTTGGACGTGCTTCTTGCCTCCTTCATTTATGCTGCTTCACCCACGTGTGGCCCTCGCCCTGCTGGGTCCCAGTGTGGAGGTCCCTCCAAGGCTGGGAGCACACGGAGACCCCCACCCCATGAGGATAGCCCAGAGCCCCACCCAATCTGCTGGAAAATGGGCCCTTCCCCAAAACTACTGCCCCGTTTGTCAGTGAGGGCACAGAGCCAGATTGAAGATGCTAGGAGGTGTCCCTTCACTTCCGTGAAATTGGTAATGACGTATCAAATGAGACCTTCTGTCACCTATGGGGGAGGCCCTTTCCCCACCTCTGTCCAGAATTCACACTCAGAGCTTGTCCTCAGCCCCTCTCCATCCCTACCCGGAAGGCCCAGTCATGAACATCCTGAGATCATTCATGCCTCTGCACTCCCCACCGTCTGTGCAGTTCCCAACACTGGGGACTGTCTGGAGGCGCCTCCAGGCCCCACTCTTCCCTGAGTGGCAAAGCCCGCAGCTTTCAGTTCAAACATCACCTGTTCAGCGCTTTCCTGGCCCCTCCCCTGCCCCTTCCAGAGCCTCCTGTCGCCCCTCTGGGCTCCCACGGCAGTAAGTCCCTCGTCATAGCCCTTCTCCTGCTGGACTGTCAGGGTCTATTTACCTGTCTGTCTCCCTTGACCCCTGAAAGAGCCTCGAGTGACTTTCACTGTTTGTCGATGGACAGAATGAATCTGGACAGGTGGAAAGAGCTCCGACTGCTGTGTGACCTTGGGGAATCAGTGAGCCTCTCTGATCCTCGGTCTCCCCAGCAGCCTGCCTGGGTTGTTTGGGTCACAGAATGGCTGGTTAGCTTAGCAGGAAAGGGCACAGGCTCTGGGGTCTGACACATCTGGGTTTAAATCCCGGCTGTACCTTTTACAGGTTGTGACCCTGGACAAGTTCCTAACAGCTCAGCGCCTCAGTTTCCTCATCTTAAAAAATGAGGATAACAGTAGTGCCTACCTCTTAGGCAGCATTCCCCTCCATATCTTTGTCCCGCCTCTAAAGGACATCACGCCTGACTCAGGAACACACAAAGTTCCCTGTCGCCAATAAGCTCGAATCTGATGGCTTTGTGGGTTGTGTGATTCCAGGAAGGCACTGGTTTCCCATCCAGGGTCTACTAACTCTACTGGACACCCACTCAGACTCTCTCCTCTCTCGGCGAACCTCCCATTTCCTCCTCTCGCCCGTCCTCACCTCACTGACGACTTTGGTTCCTACCTCGCTGGGAAAGGTGCAGCCGTCACAAGAGAATTCCCACGAGCTCCCACTACCCGCCTCTGCTTCAGTGCCATTATTCTACCTTCTCTGGGCTCCCAGCACAGGTAGCAGCAGATCCCACTCCTGGAGTCACTCCGGCAGCTCTCTCCCCTTCATCCCCATTCTGCCTTCTTCTATGGATCTTTCCCATCACCCCACCAATATGCTGCTATTTCTTCTATCTTAAACAAACAGCTGCTACCACATTCTCTCTCCTTCCCTTAAATAACATTCCTCGAAAGCATTGTCTCCACTTCCTCTCCTCCATGCTCTCTTGGACGGCCTCAATCAGACTTTTGCCCCCATCACTCCACCAAAGCAGATATTGTCAAGGGCACCAGAGACCTCCGTGTTGCTGGACCTGGAGACCAGTCAGTTCTGGGCTCTCCCACACTTGGCTCGGCAGCCTTTGCCACCATTAGCCACTCTGTCCCCTTGGAAACGCCTCTATTGGCTTCCAGGATATACCCAGGTTTCCCTCCCACTTCTCTGGTGGCTCCTTCTCCATCTCCTTGGCTGGGTGCCCCTCCTGCCCTTGACTTCTAGCAGTGCCAGGGCTCCAACTGTTAGAGCGGCCCTCTCTCTCTTCTGTCGACCCTCACTCCCAGGTGATCTCATCCGGGCTCATTAAATACCGTCCACATGCAGATCTCACCCGCCCTGACCTTCCTCCTGTACCGCAGCCCTGTAAGTCCAGCAGCCTTCTCCACATCAGCACTGAGACATCTGATCGGCATCGCAAACCTCACGTGCACACAGCTCCATCCTTCTAGTCACCTCGGCCAAAACTGTAATCTTCTTTGTCTTCTTTCTCTCACATCTGTGATCTACTTAATTAGCAAATCCTATTGGCTCTCCCTTCAAAGTATAGCCTAAATCCCATCACCTCTCACCACCTCCACTCTGCTCCAAGCCACCATCACCTCTCACCTGGATTACTGCGGTAGTCTCCAACCCAGTTTCCCAGCCTCCACCCTCTACCTCCTTCATTCTATTCTTGACACAGTAGCCAGAGGGATCCTTTAAAAAATTAAGCCAGCTCATGTCACTTCACTGCCCCAAACCCTCCAATGGCTCCCATCCCAGTCAGTGTAAAATTTAAAGTTCTCAGCCTACAGTCCCTCATGGTCTGGCCACTGCTACCTCCCCGACTCCTCACCTCCACTCTCCCTCTCACTCATTCCACTCCAGCCCCACTAGCCTCCTTACTGTTCTTTGAACATGCTGGGCTTGCTCCTGCCTTAGGGCCTTTGCACTTGCTACTCCCACAGGCAGGAACACTCTTCCCTCACATATCTACATGGCTCACTCTCCTTCTTCCTTTAGGTCTTTACTGCCATGTCTACTTCTCAGTGAGGTCTTCTCACTGGATCCCCTGTCTAAAATCTCTACCCTACTTCAACCTCCCCAGCCCTCTTCCTTATCCTTTATCCCCATCTAATAAACTATGTATTTTGCTGATTTACTTTGTTTTCTTTCTCTCTCACACCCCAGGATGTAAGATCCACGAGGGCAGGGATTTTTGCTGTTTTGCTCACTGCCATATCTCCAGCACCTAGAACAGTGTCTGGTGTGAGAGAGGTGCTCAATATACACCATACGTATAGAATGAATGAGTGAGCGGCCCAGGGCCTCAGTCTCTTCATCTGGAGAGTGGGTGCACTGATGGATCCTCTCTCACGGGGTTGTATGAGGATTCTCTGAGCTGAGTGACTGTGCAGGTGCCCAGCAAGACCCTCTCCTCATCCCTCAGCCCTGACCCCAAGCTGTGTGTAGAGCAGGGGGCTGGGCTGGGACGTGACCCACCTGGCTCCGAGCCGTGATAACCTTGCCTCTTCCGGGGCCCTCTCGGTGGTGGGCGGCGGGGCCTTACCTGGGTGGATGTCCTGGAACAGAGACTTCCAGATGGTGTACTGCAGGGGGCCTGTGTACTTGGAGGTCGGGAAGTCTTCGTACGTCAGGTTGGTCTCGTGGATTTTCCCTTTGAGCCTGGAGGGGGCGCAAGAGAGCAGGCTGCACTGCGGGCTGCATTCCTGTCCCAGTACTGGGGGCCCTACAGCCACCTTCAGGGGGGCTGACAAAGGGTGAGGTCACGCCTGTGAAGTCTGCCACACCAGATTCAGGCTCTCTAGCTTTCACCTCAGTGTCCTCATCTTTAAAATGGGTCCTATGATAGCACCTGCCTTCCTGGCTCATTGTGAGGACTGCATGGTACAACGTATGTAAAGTGCTTAGCACAGTGCTTGGCTCATGGTCAACACCAAATACATGCTGTTAACTATCAGTATTGATCATCAACCAACCAATGATAAAGCGCTATTATTATTAAAGGCGCTATGGGACCAGAGAGACCTGCGCTGGAATCCTGGCTCCCCCACATCCTAGATGAGGGGCCTTGGCCAAGTGGTCTAGCTTCTCTGGGCCTCAGTTTCTACATGTGTGAATGAGGATGACAGTCGTAACTACCTCCAAGGGGGCTAGTCGGGTTACAATAATATAAATATTATTATTTATCATATATCATACCAATGTTATTATAAATAATATATAATATAAATAACACATATTTGCAATATAATATATTGTATCATAACTCAAGTAATATACTATGTGACTATAAATATTATATATATAATAATATAAACACATAAAGCCTTTAGCCCAGGCTCTGGCTCATAGCAGACGTCCTGTAAACGTTTGATGAAGATTTGCGTGAATGAAATCTCTGCTAACCACCCACCTGCCTCCATTCCCACCACCCCGCAGGGCCAGGGAGGGGAGATCCGCCTGGGAAGGCCCCTGGCAGGCAAGCACGTACCGCTCAGACAGGGAGGCCATCCCGGCCAGGAAGGTGTGCCGGTCGGTTTCCGCCAGGCGCTCCTGCAGGATCTGGGCCCCCTCCTGCACCTTGCGCAGCTGCTGGCTGTAGCGCTGGACTTTCTGCTCGATGTCGGTCAGCGTGCGGGCCGTGTCGGCCTCCAGCTCCTCCAGCATGGCCTTCTGCCGCTCGCGCAGCAGCCGGTGCAGCCGCTCAAAGGCCTCGCCGATGGTGGTCCGCAGGCTTTTGGTGGAAGACTGTGGGGACAGTCAGCAGGGGTTATGGCAGGGAGAGCAGATCTGGCGATCCCCGGGTGAGAGGAGGAAACCGAGAGCTGTAGCACGCCAAGAGGAAAGGGTGGAAAAGGACACGCTTGGTGGGGGAATGGTACACGCGTGCAAAAGCATGGTGGCATGAAAGGACTGGCGTGGCCAGGGACAGCAGATAGTCCCTTGTGCCCTGTTAGGAAACTAATGAAATGGTCCGGGTGAGACAATGGGGCTTGAGCGAGAGGAGCAGCAGAGAGACACGGCTTGAAAGACATTTAGGGGGGAGCCTCATTGCCCCTGGTGACTGACTGGCTGTAGGGGTGCAGGAGAGAAAAGTGTGAGGATGCTGCCCAGATTTCTGGAACAAGAGCTGGAGGTTAAAGCCACTATCAGAGGAGGCAAGCGTGGACTCGCGTGGTTCTCTCTGCCCCTGCGGGGACTGCCAGGCCCAGGAGGGGCTGAGTGGTGAAGGGCACAGGCTTCGGTGCCCAACAGCCTGGGTAAGAATCCTAGCTCTGGGTCTCCCGCTGTGGCAGCCTCGGCCGCCTAATACCTCTGAAGCTTAGTTTTCTCATCTGTGACAAGGTAACCCAACTACACTGCAGGGTCACGGTGAAGATTAAATGAGGGAATGTTCACAAAACGCAGGGCATCGTCTGAGGTGCAGAGAAAGAGCTTGGTTATTAAAAGGCATCAATTCTAACAGGCACGTCCTAGAAGTCTTCACGGAGAGACGGCTTCTGAGCCAGGGCCTGAAGGATGGGCAGGGTGTCAGCTGGGGGTGAGCGGAACAGGCAGAGGGAACAGCACGAGTCAGGACAGCCCAGGGTACAGAAGCACGGCCAGGCGGCAGCAGCGTGTGGGGCCTGCCTCTGCAATTTTACTTTGTGGGCTTCTGGCTGGGAGTTCATGAAGTCAGGGACCCCGCTGTGTTCAGTGCCCAGGGCTCTGTGGGAGGCTTGACAAAGGCTCAATTAGGGCCTGCTCCCCGCCCCCCGATCCGTCGTCGCGGCTGCCGGCCTGCAGGAAGAGCTGTTGGCAGTGGGCCAGCCTCCCTGCGCATGCCCACCCAGAGCGCCAGGCAGACAAAGGGGGTGGGGGAGAGACTGGGGATGAACAACCAGGCTGCCTGTGGCCTCCGCGAGCCCCTCGCCCAGGGAGGGCTGAGGCTCCTGCAACGGGAGGTCACAGATGGGGAAGATGGGGCCTGCCCTTCCTGTACCATCTGCCACTGTCCCCCAAAGGCCCCCAGACCCCAGGGCCACCCCTCTGGCTCCTCCTCGACCACTCTGCAGCAGTGTTTGGCCCTCTGGCCCCTCTCTACTAATTGAAAATACTGGTTTGCGTCCCACCTCTGTGGCTGTTCCCTCTGCCATTCATGTTCCAGGCTAGCTCCTCCCATCCTCACCCTGCCTGGCCTCCCTCGTCGTCAACTCCCACTGCTTTGAGGATGGCTCCCTATCGGCAGCCTTGCATGTGTCCTGAGCACCACGCTCTTCTTTCCAACTGCCCCCTCCACACGTCCCCCTGGGGTCCCACAGGCCCTCCAGCTCACTCAGTCCACAAGCCAACTCCATGTCTTGGCCAACAAACTCGCTGCCAGAGCGATCCTTCTAATGTGCAAACGGTCTCAGCCCATCCCGCGGTTAGGAACCTTTCTTCGTTCTTTAACAACTAATAAAATGCCTAATTCCTTAGCCTGGCACTCAAAGTCCTCAATCTGATCCCAACTACCTCCCTAGTGCCACTGTATTGTAATTCTACCTGCCTAGAATGACATGTCCCACCCCCACCCCAAACAAACCCTTTATTCAACTGGCAAACTCCTACTCATCCTGCAAGACCCAGATTGAAAGCTACCTCCTCTGTAACACCTTCCCTAACTTTTTCAGGCAGTTAAATAGTTAAACGTTCCCAGAGCATTTTGTAAATACTCTTGATACACTGTCACACATTTTATGTGGCTCCCTGGCTAATGGATGAAGCCCTCCTGGGTAGGAATGGCATCTTCCTCAGCCCTGCACCCGCCGTGCCCATCCCAAGGCCTGGCACAAGGCTGGCAGAAAGGAACTGCTTGAAAGGAGAAGGAGGGAAGGGTCTTGCCCAAGACTGCTCTGCAGAGATGGGTGCAGACTCCATCTTCTTTCCAGGGTGGGGGCCCAGTGTCCCCAGGACCAAGTATGTCCCCGACGTGTCCTCTGGACCTACCTGGCTTGCTGACCACAAGGCCCTAGATCTTGCTGAGGATCCCAGCATGAGGCTGGAATATGCACTAGGTTATCACAGGACTGGACAGTACGTTCCTAATTAGCCACTTATTAGCTGCAGGGCCTCAGGCTGGTCCCTCAAACTCTCTGTACCTCAGTTTCCTTGCCAATAAAATGGAGATAACAACAGTCCCTACCCCAAAAGGTGTTTTTCCCCCTACTCATTTGTTCTTACAACTATTTATTGTGTAGGAGGCACCGTGCTAGGTTCTGGGGAGTCCCACCCTCACGGAGGTGACATTCTGTGGGGTTCAGCAAGACCATGCATGGGAAACACATTCTTAGCACAGAGAAAGGTTCAGCTCAGGTGGTGTGGCCCGTTTACTATAGTTCTTTCTAGGGCAGAGTCACCCCCATCCCACCCCCAATCCCTTTGGTACCAAGGCTGGGAAAGCAGCCCCCACCCCAGCCCGCCACATCCCTGGGAACACACTGGAGCTTGGAGGAGCTGGGCCATTTCAGAAAATCACCCTGCCAAGAATGCGTCACTCCGTCAGGGCCGACCAAGGAAAACACTGGGCTGGGGAGGGAGATCAGACAGGCCCTCAGGCCGGGCCATTGGAGGGGTAGGCGCTGCAGGAAAGCCGAGTCAGGCACCAGGTGAAATACGACCTCCAAAGCATTCGTAGGCATTTCTTGTATAAACACCCCAGTCCAGACAGGAAGCAGAGCTCAGGAACTGGAGGGGGAGGCGGCCCCACAGGACCCCCCAGAGGTAGACAGATGGACAGGAAAGCAGGGGAGGAAGAGGTCAGCGGAGAAAAACAATGGGGGGTGGAGAAAAGGGAATGCTAGGGAGAAGAAACAGACCATAATATTCCCCTCTCATCCAGATAGAGGCTTCCATTTGCTTCTCTTCACCTCAGAGGGTGCCGAGTCACCAGGAAGATGGGGAAACTGAGGCTGTGAGAAGCAAATAGCCAGAATCCTGTGACTGTTTCTCATCTGGCGCCCGCTGAGGGTCCTACCCAGAGGCACTCCAGAATGTTCTCTGAAGAAATGTTTGTCATGACCTCCCTGAGACCCCACACGGGTTGGTGGCTGAGCTGGGGCACAAATCTGGATCTCCACTGGCCTCTCTGGGCCCCAGGGTGACCTCCAGAGACCCAGAGCATTCCTAAGGCTCTGCTCCAGCTGCTGCTGGCCGAGCACCATGCTAACACGTGGAGCCAGTCTGAAATCTCCGCAGAGCTGAGCAGCCGGGCCTGGGTCCCCAGTTCTTGGTCCCAGAAAGACAGGGCAGAAATCAGAGCAAAGCTTCTCCAGTTAGTAAGATGTCTGTGGCGGGGACTTACAGGGAGCCCCTTGGAAGTGCGCTAGGAACCACCACTTCACGGCTGGAAGGAGCCTGGCAGGGCCCGCACTGTCGAGATGGGAAGACTGAGGGCCGGGAAAAGTATGCAGTTTACCCAAAGTCACACAGCGAGGTAGTGGCTGGATCAGAACCTGTGCTTTCCTCACGGGTCAAGAAAAAAGGCTTTTCTTTTCAAACCATGGTAGCCAGAGAGCGCAGGGTTTGGCCCTACTTTTCAGAGTCCATATCCCATGGCCTGAGCTTAAGACGAGAGATGATACCAGGGCTGGGCCACAAACCATCAGGAGGGTGGGCTCCTCGGGCAAGGAGTGTGTTTAATAAGGAGAGACGAAAGAGATACTTGGTACATCCTCCCAGCCCTGCAGGACGCCAGGGTTCCGGAGGGTCTCTGTTCCTACCTCAGTTTCCACCCAGAGCTGGAAGGGAGAAAGGGCCCCACCCGTGTTTTGGCACTAGCCCAAATCCTTGCCCTCTGTCCCCTTGGCGTGGGACCCGCCCCACCCACCTTCACGAAGCCCCAGCCTCGGCTCCACCCCCAGCAGGCCCCGCCCCCTTCTTCCTAGCGGGCCCGTCCCCGCGCCCAGGGTAGGCTCACCTTGGTCTCCGCCAGCTGTCGCTTGAGCAGCTGCAGCGCCTCCGTGTGCTCCCGCTCGCTGTCCTGAAGGGCCTGAAGCTGCTCCTTCAGCTCCCTCTGGAACAACACAAGGCCGGGATGGGGCACTCCGTGGTGACGTGGAGCCCAGGCCTGGCGGCTGCCGGTGCATCCCACAACCTGGCCCAGCACCCTCCTCCCGTCACAGCTCAACCACCACCAAGTCCTGAAGGTCTGGCTCCTAAGTACCTCTCATCTTTTCATCCTTCATCTGGAGTTTTGTGTCCTAGGAGCTCTGGTCTCTCTGTCTCCAATCTATCTCCGCATGCACTCTGCCCCACCCTGATCTGCTGGCCAGGACTCCTTGCTGAGAATCCTCCCATGGGAACCAAGGCTGTACCACTGTCCATCGCAACGACAAACTGCCAGCATTCCCTGAGCCCTTCCAGTGGGCTAGGCACTGTTCTCAGCCCTTTGCTGGTATCGGTTCATTTGATCCTCTCAATAACCCCAAGGTAGGCACTATTATTATCCCCATTTTCAGATGGAGAAACCAGTATAGACAGGTCAAGAAACTGGCCCCAAAGGATACAGCTAAGCATGTCAGGGTAAGGCCAGAATTGGAACTCAGGCAGTCTGGTTCTGGAGACCATGACCCTGACACCAGATGACACGTTTTCTGCCATGATGACACCAGTGAACAACGACAACAAAAATCCATGACAGACAACATATAGTTCTGAATGAGGACAGGGTCAGTATGACTGAGTTTTCCTTTGCTTCAGGTTCCAACACACCTCAGCATGTCACTGCTAATGATCGTGTCTTTATTTAAAAATTTGATACTTCGTTCATCCTGAGATTTTTTGCATTAGTTTTGACTTTTAACAATTGCATTAAATATTCATCTCGATGACTGAGTTTTGGGGTGCCTGCTTCAATCTTGCACCTGAAGCAACCACCTCACTCCCTCACCCTAGTCCCATCCCTGTCCCCACCATCCTTGTCCCCTCACTCCCATCCAGCCAAAGTGGCCTTCTCCTCTTCCTCCGTCACTCTGGGCTTGTGTCAGCCTTGTGACTTGGCACTTGCTGTTCCTCTGGCTGGTGCGCTCCACTCTCCGATTTTCTCTCAGTGATACCTTTGTATTATTAATGTATCAACTCAGATGCTGCCTCTCAGAGAGGTCTTGCCTGACCACCCCAGGTACAGTAGCATCCCTTACACCCTGTGTCACATGCCCTGTTTCCTGATCTTCACAGCACCTTCCGCCATTTCTGAGATGATCTTGCTCATTTATTTGGTGGTATGTTTATTGCTCGTCTCCTCCACTAAAAGGTGAATGTCATGAGGGCAGGTATCTTGTCTGGCTTGTTCATTGTTCTATCCCCAGTGCCTACAATAGTGCTTAGCACACAGTAGGGCCTCCATAATTATTTGTCAAATGAAGGAATGGGTGTGGAGGCGGGTGTCCCCTAGTACAGGGTCCAGCGGTCTGCACTTATGGGGCATTTGGCCCATAGTATCATAGCTAGTTGTTCCGTCTGTCCTTCCTCCATCCCCATACTAGCCCATGAGTCCTCCAGGGTGGGCCCCTATGGTTCCCTCTCCACATCCCCTGCTCCCATCAACGGCCCAGCACTGAGATGGGGCTCAAGGAAGTTTGTGAATGAATTTCCATGGAAACGGCCTCTGAGCAGGGCCTGGGTTCCCCAGTCAGCCTGGGCTGTGAGTGATGCCAGGGAGCTGACTTACCTGTTCACTCACCTCCCACCCACTTATTCATCCGTCAGAGCAGGGAGGGCCCTCAGAAGACATCTAGTCCGACTAATTTTATAGACTAGGTAGCAACCTGGGAAAATGGTCATGAAGACATGCGAAGGGAAGAACGCAGAAAACAAAATTATCTTTGCTTACTATCCCTTATTCATGCCACGAATATTTATTGAAGAACTATTATGTACCAGGCACTGTTGAGGCACCGGGGGTATGGTAGAGAACCAGACAGACACAGTCCTTGCCTACAGGAATCTTCCAGTCTAGTGGGGAAGACAGATAGTAAACAAGGACAATAAGAAAAGAACCAGATAATTACTGATTATAGTCTGTGCTCTAGAGAAAATAATGCAGTGTGGGATGGACAGGGAATTTAGGTAGGGTGGTCAGGGAAGGCTTCTCTGAGGAGGTAACACCTGAGATGACAGCTGAAGGATGAGGAGGAGCCAGCCGTGAAAATAAGAGTTAGATAGAAAAAGAAGAACAGCTTGTTTTGTGCGAGTAGAGAGCCTGCATAGACAGAATGATTGGAGCTCTGGTTGCCATCTCAGGCCATATGGCAACCATAAGGACGGAAGTCACAATCTAAAACCAGGGAAGTAGAAGCAAGGAGCCCGGGTCCCTGATTAACTGGGGTAGCCACACCATCAGTGGACTCAGTTATGTGCTAGGAGGCTTAGCCTTCTGGGGGAAATAAAAGCCCTAATTTATAGTGTTTGCCAATTTCCGTGGTATAAGTGCTCCAACCAAAGATGATTTCAAGCTATCAACGTGAGGTCACTAGACACAGAGCTGGGAAGAGATTTGCACAATCAGCTCAGTGACCAGTGCAAGTGGCCAGCACAGCACACCCTGGAGTCCTTTCCTATAGACTTGTTTTACATGAGAGAGAAATACACCCCCATTGAATTTCAGCTACTTGAGTCAGGTCTCTATTACTAACAGCTGAAAGTCATTCCTAATGGATTCACATGCATCTGGGTCATTGGAGCAGACGAACCTCGTTCACCGAGGAATGCAGAATGATTGCTCCTCAGCCGTCCCTGATGGCCTGGGGTCTGTCCAGCTTGGGACACAGTGTGGCTAAGACGCAGATGTTTGAGGCGATGGGCCAAGTGCTACAATCCTCCCCCTTGGTGGTCCTCGTGGGTCCATGAAAGACCCAGCCACCAGGCAGCTCTTCTGATTCTCTGAGAAAACTGCCCTGGAGGCCGCGTTCCTCACATTGCACAGAGCACCCAAGGGACTTGGACCAATTCCTCCTTGCTTTCAAGGCCAGGGAACAAGGAGAGCAGGCCTGCCCGTTCCTCCTGGGCTCTGGAAGCAATGGAACACGCATTTGCCCGTTCCACAAACGTGCTGAGGCCTCCTTGGGCCCCACCTGGTGCTGTGTCAGTGACAGGGATGAGGGACAACACGTCCCAACCTGTGATGCCTCAGGAGGGGTGCAGACAAGTTGGGAGGAAGACGGAGACACAGATATTAACATCAGTGAATGCTGGAAGAGTGTTAGGGGGTCCCAAACCTGCTCCTCCTCCCATGTTCCCCATCTCTGTGAAGGGCACCCCCAGCCCCCACCGCCATCCAAGCCAGAAATCTGGGAGTCATCCTTGTCACTGTCCCCCCACCAATCCAATCGGTCATCAGGTTCACCCTGGAATTTGTTCTCTCCTCTCTACACCCACTGCCCCTGGCTTGGGTTTCATCACTTCTTTTCTGGACTGTGGCCCCAGGCTCCTCTTTGCCTCTCACACTCCAAGTGCCCCACAGAGCAGGTGGAATGATTGTTCTAAGGGAGAGATCTGTCCATGCATCTGTCGGCCCCCCTCGCCCCCTGTAGGATTTCACATTGTCTAGGAAGAAAGGAAGCGCCAGGCCCTTCACCACTGGCCCCAAACTTCTCCAGCCTTATCTTTTGGTCCAGACCTACACTGTCCAATATGGTAGCCACCAGCCACTGCTTTTAAATTAAAATGAATTAAAACTAAATAAAATTGAAAATTCCATTCCTCAGTTGTACCAACTGCACTCAGCTGCACATTTCAGGTGCTCAATAGCCACATGCGACGAGTGGCTACTGCACCAGACACACAGATGCAGAACACTTCCATTATCCCAGAAGGTTCTATTGGACAGTGCTACTCCAGACACACTAAGCATCTTGCAGTGCTCTCCTCCAGGCCTTTGCACACGCTATTCCCTTTGTCTGGAATGCTCACCCACATGTTTTTCTCCACTTGTTAGACTCAAACTCATCTCTTAAGACCTCAATCAAATGTCACCTCCATATCCCAAACTCTCCATGCTGCCCTCAGACACTGCATATGGCACACTGCATTTTAATTGCAAGGTTACTTGTCAGTCTCCCCCACGAGATTGTGGGCTCTGATGGCAGGGACTGAGTCTGATAGATTTTCACACTCTCAGTACCTAGGAAGGGCCAGGCAAACAGTGACCTCCGTAAGAGTCTGCAGAATAAATCAGCCCAGGGAAGAGGCTGGGCTGGGTCAGAGCTCACCTCTGAAAGGGAGGGAGGGCAGAGAGGGCCCCAAGCAGCTCCCCACAGGAGGGCTACCCAGCCTGAGGGAACAGCTAACTTGGGAAAACCAAACCCTATAACCCACAGAGCAGGACTGGGAGGCAGCCTGAGCTCTGTCTCCTCCTTCCCCCATCCCCCAGGGTCTCCTTCCAGGCCTGGGATCAGACAGACCTGGGTGAGGAGGCTGGCTCTGCTACCCACTAGTTGTGTAACCTTGCACCCTAACCTCTCTGTGCCCCAGTCCCTCATCTGTGAAATGAGGATAACAATACCGCCTAAGGTTGGGAGGGTGAAATGAGATAACAGTAAAAAGTGTTTAGCCTCATAGGGCAGAGCTTGGCATATGCTGGGTGCTCAGGAGACGGAGTGGCCACCATGTCCCACATGAGGCTTCTTGGTCACTTCTCCATGTTATCACCCCTCGCTGTGTCCAGGCCCCTCCCTGCCTCCTCAGATGGCCAGAGCAAGAAGGGGCCCCAGGGACCATCTGGTCCAACCCCCTGGATTTCTAGAACAGAAAACTGAGGTCCAAGAAAAGGGACTGACTGGCCCATGGCCACAGAGCTTGACAGAGGAGAACCAACCAGAAAATTTACTCCCAGCAGAGGTCAGACAGGAAACAGAAGCTGTTGATAAACTCCTAATGATAGAGCTAACCAGGAGGAAGGACATTGGCAATGCCAGAGGCTCAGAACCAGAAGGGCTGGAGGTAGCATGGTATGGGTGTGAATTTCACAGGTGTCAGGTCACCTAATTCTCACAACAACATCACGAGGTTAGTGCC